CCACCTCCCCATCGGCCCTGCCCTGAGTGTGACAGGGGGGAGCTCCCCAACACCTCAATCGGCCCTACTGAGCGTCACTGAGGGTGGCATTGCAACCTCCTGATCAGCCCTGCTCTGTGCATGACAAGGGGCGGTGCCCCAACTCCCCAATCGGCCCTGCTCTGAGCCCAACCAGAGGCTCCAGGGGCTTCACCTAGAGATTGGGCCTGCCCTCTGCCACCCGGGAGCAGGCCTAAGCCAGTCGGTCGTTATCTCCCAAGGGGTCCCAGACTGCGAGAGGGCACAGTCCGGGCTGGGGGACCCCCCTCCCCCCCGAGTGCACAAATTTTTGTGCACTGGGCCTGCAGTCTATACTAATAAAAGGGTAATATGCTAATCAGGGCAGACATCTTCTGAACGCCCTTCTGGATAAAGCTGCAGCAGCTGCCTGAGGCTCAGGCAGGCTGCAGATGGAGGCTGCCGCTGGGAGGGCCCGAGGCTCAGGCAGGCCACCGGCCCGAGTCTCAGGGAAGCCACGGTGACTGCGAGGGCCAAGGCTTAGGCAGCCGCAGTGGTTGGCAGTGGCAGCAGCAGAGGAGTGATGGGAGCATTGCCCTTCCCTGATTGGCCGGTTGCCTCCCACAGAGGAAGGTCAGACTGCGGCCCTATGGGGAGTGGGCCTAAGCCGTCAGAAGGACATTTCCTGAGGGCTCCCAGACTGTGAGAGGGGGCAGGCTGGGCTGAGGTCCCCCCAAGTGCACGAATTTTTGTGCACCGGGCCTCTAGTCCTATATAATAAAAGCATAATATGCTAATTGACTGACCAGTTGACCGTTAGACCAGTCACTATGATGCGCACTGACCACCAGGGGCAGACGCTCCGACCAGTAGGTTAGCTTGCTGCTGGGGTCCAGCCATTCAGGACTGGGTGAGAAGGTTGGACACACCCTGGAGCCCTCCTGCAGTCCCTCCCCAGCTGGCCCCCATCCAGGCATGAATTCGTGCACCGGGCCTCTAGTTTTGTATAAATTCCTAATTAATCCCACATTATCTATAATAATAAAAGGATAATATGTTAATTAGACTGGACGTTCTTCCAGACTACCTTCCGGAAGAAGCCGTGGGGGCGGGGGCCAAGGCAGAGGCGGCTGCAGTGGCGGCAAGAGCCAAGACCCTTGCACGAATTTCGTGCATGAGCCTCTAGTTTAATAATAAAGAATTTGAGATTGGGATTCTTTTAATAATACATTTGTCTCTAGGCTCTTTCTTTTTCTGAAAACAAAACAAACCAACATCAACAACAAAAAACCCCAATCTTAATATCCCTTAATCCTAATATCCCTTTTTTTCAACTTGTAGCCTCCTCTTGAGGGAATTGATCATTGAAGAAAACAAGTTCTAGGGCACCTCTAATTGTAGTACATCAGATTTCTCTGCCCTCAGAAGATATCATAAGATGAAGTTAAGATAATGGGGGAGAGCAGAGAAACCAAGATGGCGGCATAGGTAAACACCGGAATTTGCTGCCTTGAACAATCACTTCAAAAATACAACTAAAAGACGGAACAGACATCACCCAGAACCACAGGAAGGCTGGCTGAGTGGAAATTCTACAACTAGAAGGAAAGAGAAAAGCATACCGAGACTCAGAGATGCAGTGTGGAAGTAAAATACTAAGGTACAGAGGCACACACGGAGCGGGCTGGCAGCTGAGGGCGCGGTTGTTGTTTTCAATCGGGAGGGAGTTTCAGGCTCTGAGCTCCAATTCCGGATGAGTCTCTAGGGACCCAGACTCATACGGGAGAAGCGGGACCGTCTGGCATCGGTCGGAACTTGAGGGCAGCTTTCTCTCTGAGGTACTTGCAGCAATTGCAAAGTGACTGAGAGGCAGAGCCTCTGGGGATGGGACTGAGAGCAGCCATAACTGCTCGGCCCTGTTGATCCCCTGGGACCCGCTCTGCCCAAGCCCTGCACAGAGGCATTTGCTGGATAGCCTAAGGCAAAGCCTAGATTAGCAC